CCACTTTTACCTTCAGTGACACCTGACATATAAACACACTCATGTTGGTTGCTGAATGCATTTTGCAACACTTGATTTACAAACACAGCTGCTCAAATACACGTGTTCCTGTAGTTGTGTGGCACATAAAACTCTGTGGGCGTGTTCTGACACGTGTGACAGTCTAAGGAGTGCAACAAGTTTGGATTCTTTCAATTGTACTTGAGTGACACATCTACGCCATCTGCTGATGTAAACATGCAATGATTGTGATTCTTCTTACTATTAATTTTTTTAAAGGGTCATGAAGTGATAATGGCTACTTAATTATATGTATTTATCAAAACTTTTATCAGTGTCGTGAATAAAAATTACCAGTCCCAAATCAATCAAAAATAAATCTGGAAGGTAAATCCTTTAGCATAACCAGGAATAAATGTCTTCTTTGATCTGTCAGCATGACCACCACCAAACTGCTGCCATTTAACTGATAAAAACTACTCCTTATTTTGGTCCGAAGTCAGGGCATCTCATTATGTTGCCCTTGCATCAGAAAGGCAGTTAAAAAATCAAGGTTTCCAAGGAGTAAGGAATGTTGAAATGTTTTTATAAAGAGATTTGCAAGGGAGATACAACTTCTGCTTTGTTGACAAGAAATTACTATTTTATTCTATTGTTGTTCAAAATTAATTCCTTCTGACTACGAGTTTGCTTTGATAATGAACCTGCAGCTCAATGCAACTGCCACATACAGCATGCATCACGGAGGCCTCAATGTCCCAATGCCCTGAAGACATTTTTGTAATCAAGAACAAACAGAAAGAATATTGCTATTTGTATTTGCTTAGCTTCTTACAGATGTGCCCTTCACCCAAGGAACTTGGCATGGGGTGGAAGGTGGGTGTGCTACATGATGTGTCATTTTTAATCCAATATATGAAAAGCATAACAGCACAAAACACAGACACACACACTCACCCTTTTGATGACATAGGAAGACTTTCTTCTTTTGAAGTTGTCTGTTTGCTTTTTGTGTCACCTTTGGGATAACCTCTGACTTCTGTGACATATGAAGAGGTTACAATGGTTCAGCCTGAATACAGCAGAGGATGGCTTTAATATAGATTATTACAGATGAACAACGTCCTAATGATGGGTCTCATTAAAATAAGTCCAATCTAATGCAATCCAGTGTTATTTGTAAAGCACTTAAAACAAAAACAAAGGACATAAGTGTTGTAGAGTTAAATAAGTTAAAAACAAACAAAAAACAGGACACATTAAACCAACAATACACAAGTAAACTGCCCTATGTTAAAGCAATATAAAACAATATAAAATTAAACTAAAAGCAACTTATATAAAACATTGCCTAAAAACAACATCTCCCATTGTGTCAAAAGCCAGGGTAAAAAAAACTGATTTTCAGAAAAGATTTAAAAACCGACAGAGAAGATCCCTGTCTATTTATGTGCAGAGGAAGCTGCCAAGTCCACAATTTGGGAGCTGCTACAGCAAAAACCCAAGCACAAGTTTTAGCACAGTCCTAGGTACAGAGGAGTAGCTGATCAGCTGACCTGAGAGAGTGGGTAGGTTTACAGGGCTGCAACAGTTCAGAGATAGGATGAGGCACAGTCAAGGAAGGCCTTAAAAGCAAATGAAATTAATATAAGATTAATCCTAAAAGGAATGGGCAGCCAGTGAAAGAAAGCTTAAATGAAGGAAATATGCTCATACGTCTAAGTGCCAGTTAAAGATTATATCACAGCTGACATCAAGTTCAAGCTGTTTGTGCAAACAGCTGAATTTTGTTTTGCCATCCTACCCCCAACTTCTGACCAGAATATGAATATAAATTTGAATATGAATATGAATATGAATACTCCTGGGATGGTGGAGATAGAGAGGCAGAGAGCCATGACCGAGATTGGTCTGCTTTTTGACCTCATTCCTGGGGGTCCGGACGCCATGGTCCGACTTATTCCATTCCTGGCTCTTGTTCCTGCTCTTGCTCCAGAGGAGCTAAGAATTGAGTTGCCTCCACTCCTGGTTCCTGTTCCTGCTTTGGAGGACCTCAAGATCCAGCTGCCTCCACTCCTGGTTTCTGTTCCTAAGCCTGTTCTGGAGGGGTTTGAAGATGAACTGCGTTCACTCCCCGATCCAGTTCCTGATCCGGAGGGGTCCATTGACGAACCGCCCTCACATCTGTGAGGTATTCAGGGACGGACTGCCTCCACAGTTCCTGTCTTGGAAGAACTCAAGATCGAGCTGCCTTCATTTCCTGTTCCTGTTTCGAAGGAGTTCGAGGACAAACCGCCTCCTGTTGTTCCTGTTCTGGAGGAGCTTGAGGACAGGCTGCCTCCACTTTCTATTCCTGTTCTGGAGGAGCTCGCAGATGGGCTGCCTCCACTTCTTGTTCCTGTCCGAGAGGCATCTGCTGTGCCTCAGAGGTTCCACCGCAGATCTCTAGCTCCCTGCCGCACATCTCCACAGCCTTGCCGAGGGTTCCAGCAGTTTCTGCACTGCTCTCTCGAGCTCAACTGCCAGATTGATAAGAAAATGAAAGGAAAGTTGAACTGATAACTAATAATGTTTAGATAGCACAGTCAAAGTCAAAGGTGGTTGATAATCTGACAACAAGTCTGTAATGTATTTTGGTGCTAAGCCATTCAGGGATTTATAGATTAACAGAAGTAATTTAAAGTCTATTCGGGGAGCCAGTGTAAGGACTTTAGAACTGGGGTGATGTACTCCACTTTCTTAGTTTTAGTGATGACGCAGGCAGCAGCATTCTGGATCAACTGCAGCTGTCTGAACGACCTCTTAGGCAGACCTGTGAAGACATCATTGCAGTAATCACTTATACTAAAGGTGAATGCATGAAATAGTTTTCCTGCTGAGACATTAGTCCTTTAATCCTGGAGATGTTCTTTAGGTGATAGAAGGCCAACCTTGATACTATCGTTATTTGCCTCTGAAGGTTCAGGTCTGAGTCCATCACTACACCCATTTTGAGCCTAATTGGTGGTTTCCAGCTGTATTAACTGAAGCTGTGTGCTAACTTTTAAACACTCTTCCTTTGGTCCAAAGATTATTACTTAATTCTTCACCTCTGACGACAAACACTGATATTGTACATTTCGCAAGGGTGAGTGCAGCTTTATCCTCCTGACAAACCTATTAAAAACAATTACAATATTATAAGTGAATCAGTTTATGGTATAATATTTCATCCACATCACTCAAATTTTTTTATGTTTGTCCCTGGTTATGGGAAAGTGTGAAAACATTTCTCACAACAAACATTTGACCTTTAAACTGTGAATTTAATAGCTGTTAGCTTTGAAAAACAAACTGGCTGAAGGGGGACAGTTGTGATTCTCTGAAACTCACTGTTAATCTTTACACAAAAAAAAACAGCCCAAAGTTATTGCATTTTCTGTGCTGAGGTTATTAAAATGGAATATATTCCTCACCTTATCCATTGTGAACAATGCAGGCCACCTTGTTTTCAGCTCGACCACATCCAACTCCTTCTCCACAACCTCCTGTCTTCGCAGTGAAAATGTTTGAGCCATTTTTGCCTTTATCACTGTCAAGACAAGTCAAGTTTATTTATATAGCGCTTTTCAGCAACAAGGCACTCAAGGCGCTGTATATACGGAAAAACATTACAATGATACAGAAAATCAAACAACAGAGGTAATTTAAAAAATAAAATAAAATAAAATAAAGAGAATAGAATAGAATAGAATTATGGACAAGAAAATGAAAGGAAAATTGGACTGAAAACGCAACTAATAATGTTTAGGTGGCACAGTCAAAGGCCACTCTAAACAAATAGGTTTTTAATCTTGATTTAAAGCAACTTAGAAATTCGGCACTTTTACAGTTTTCTGGGGGTTTATTCCAGATTAGTGGAGCATAAGAACTTAAAGCTGCTTCTCCATGTTTGGTTCTGGTTCTGGGTATGCAGAGTAGATTTGAGCCAGAAGACCTGAGAGGTCTGGGTGGTTGATACACTGACAACAAGTCTGTAATGTATTTTGGTGCTAAGCCATTCAGTGATTTATAAACAAACAGAAGTATTTTAAAGTATATTCTCTGACCTCCAGGGAGCCAGTGTAGGGACTTTAGAAGCCAGGTTGATGTGCTCCACTTTCTTAGTTCTAGTGAGGACGCGGGCAGCAGCGTTCTGGATCAACTGCAGCTGTCTGATCGACTTTTTAGGCAGACCTGTCAAGACAACATTGCAGTAATCAATTCTAGATGAATGCATGAATTAGTTTTTCAAGGTCCTGCTGAGACATTAGTCCTTTAATCCTGGAGATGTTCTTTAGGTGATAGAAGGCTGACCTTGATACTATCTTTATTTGCCTCTGAAGGTTCAGGTATGAGTCCATCACTACACCCATTTTGAGCCTGATTGGTGGTTTCTAGCTGTATTAACTGAAGCTGTGTGCTCACTTTTAAACATTCTTCCTATGGTCCAGAAAAAAGTATTACTTCAGTTTTGTTTTCATTTAGCTGAACAAAATTTTGGCACATCCATGCATTGATTTCATCAAAGCATTTACCAAGCGCTTTAATGGGTTCTTACTCACCTGGTGACATCGTAACGTATAGCTGTGTGTCATCTGCATAGTTATGGTAACTTATGTTGTTGTGTATTATAATCTGAATTAGGGGAGCATGTAGATAAAAAATACCTGTTCTTCAAGATGTCCTAGGATTTAAACCAATCTAGTGCTGTTCCAGAACGGCCAACCCAGTTTTCCAGGCGCTCTAATAAAATAGAGTGATCAACAGTGTCGAATGCTGCAGTAAGGTCATATAATACCAGCACTGTGGTTCTTCCACAGTCTGCATTTATACGGATGTCACTGAACACTGAAGGGGAAGTTTGAGATAGGCCTTTGGTTTTGCAGTAGCAACTTGTCCATGTTGCTCTTTTTCAATAGTGGTTTGATAATTGCTAATAATTATCAAATTAATTAATTAATTGCTGATAATTTAGGGGCTGCACGGTGGCGCAGTTGGTAGCACTGTAGCCTTGCAGTAAGAAGATCCTGGGTTTGATTCCCGGCCGGGGGTCTTTCTGCATAGAGTTTGCATGTTCTCCCCGTGCATGCGTGGGTTCTCACCGGGTACTCCGGCTTCCTCTCATAGTCCAAAGACATGCCTGTTAGGTTAATTGGTCACTCTAAATTGCCCTTAGGTGTATGAATGAGTGTGTACTTGGTTGTTTGTGTGTTGCCCTGCGATGGACTGGCGACCTGTCCAGGGTGTACCCTGCCTCTCGCCCATAGATTGCTGGAGATAGGCACCAGCTCCCCCGCGACCCACTATGGAATAAGCGGTAGAAAATGACTGACTGACTGATAATTTAGGGCCTGGAGGAAAACACTTGAGGAAAATAGGAAGATACCTCCAGCACAACAAGGCCAAGTCAGATCATTATTCTATTCATAAATTTTAGCTTTAATACTGAACCACCCCTGTTTCTATTAAACCCCGCATCTATTATTAATGCCACTGACTCCACTAGTTCACTCTTCCCCAGTCATTTAGTCAAAGTAGCCAATTTCGTCAACCCAAACATTCTGTAAAAACCTTGCTATGCTCAGAAAGGAGTCAGTGTTTTAATCAGAAACCAATCTAGTTTAAAGTTAACTGGTAATAGTTAATAAGCCCATTAGTGTAATCATATCATTCATTATCCATTAACATTTATTTAATCAGTATATTATTTTAGTAATCCCCATCACTGTAAATTTTGTAATCCATTTTACAGAGCCTAATCAAAATTTAAGTCCAAATTCCTGTTGCAATCTGATTGGTTAATTTATACTACAAACTTTAATTCATTCTTTCATTCATGACATTTACTCAGTTTACCCAGTTCACACAATAATCAGTAATCAAGTTATTCAATAAAGTATTCATACATTCAATCAAATCTTCTGTCTCTTTTACTCTTTTTTCATTAGGGCATTGTAGAGGATATCAGGACAGAAGGCAGTCTGTATCTTCGATCTTGGTTCATTCTGGGTCACACCTGTTACTCCTGTCAACCTGATCATGGCTTCCTCCTGCTCATACCCATGCAATAAAGGAGTCGATACTTGAACCACTGAAATCTGATAGGTGGTTGGAACTCCCAATCTTCTTGCATCCAGGGAGCTACCGGGTGTATCTATGCAGCTAAGAATGAGAGCACATGGTGCACAACAGCATGCACAGTGATCACTACAGTCACAACAATTGATGAAGTCAACATACTCACCAATAGGTTTCCCCATTTTCCAACCCACATTTCAAACATATTTGTAAACGGTTCATCAATTCCTGAGTGCTATTTTAATTCAATGGATAGTGATTTCAATCCTCTTAGGACCTTCGTGAGGGATCCATCAAGTGCTGTATTGTTGGGAATGAAAGAACAACAAGCCCCTCCAATAATACTACAAACCCTTCCAACTTTTTGCTAGGATCATATCCAAAGCTGTCTGTTTTGACAAGAAACTAAGGAGTTGGCTAAGAGTGTAAGAGTATGAGCAAACAATGGTGGCACCCAACACAGCGATCAGATCCCGTGCCAATACGTTCGGAGGACACTGTTTCATCTCCGCAGTCACCTCGATGTAATGTAACTCATGCGTTTCCAGGTGAGCTGCTAAGCAAGTTCTCACATCACCAATCGCAAATCCCTGTCCACAAAATGCGGTCAGAAATTCTTTGGACCAAATGTATGCTTCTATTTTTGGATCTGGAAGTGTGGATCTCAGTAAAGCACTATCAGTGTAGGTTTAAGGGCTGCATGTGACTGTGTGCACTTATCCAGCAACATTATAAGTCTGAACTAAGGGCATATCGGAAGCAGTGTCAAGTCTTGCAGAAATCAAATACAAAAACAAAATTTAAGGATACCCCTGACAAAGTGGGCCAATCAGTGTCAAGGCATCCTGATTGGAGAGGGTAACCAGGGCACATCTTTTTCTGTCCCATCAACGTGTAGTCACCCCAAAAAAGTCCCCAACATACCTTAGTTCTGTCCAATAGTAAGTAAACATTCAGGGTCTTATATCAAGCTAATTTACAATCTAAGTTGCAAACAGCAGTATCAATGAATAAGTAACTCAGAAGCACACAGAAATTTATAAATACTATTCATGAGGTTATTCGAATTGACCTATAGTTGAGCACTCCTTCAACCCCTCATGCAAATTGTTCCACATGCACAGAAATACACATTTGTTTGTTGGCTATTCATACTTTAGAAAACCTTCTTCACTCTGTGATTTTTGTTCCACCAGGTTCCAAAGCAGATACCTTCTTTCAAATTTACCAGCATAAGCTCCTTTAAACTCAGTAAATAGATTTTTTATTATTTATTTCTTAATCACGTTCCCTCTTTTGATGTAACCAAGCCCCTAAGTCCAAAGATATCTAATTGAACCCATTTGTATGTGCTCCCTCAGGTGCTTTCTGATTTCTCTCATGTTTCTTTTCAGAGGATAGCTCTCCCTCATCCAACCAAACGTCACACTATATCTTGTTAGGTGTACTACTTTTTCCAAATTTCCAATCCACCTGGGATCCTTTCAGGATCTGTGGAACACCTTTCTATATATCCACTTCCCAGGTGCAGTCTCTTCTGGAGTCTTTCCCATTGGTTCTCTGGGTCAGAGAACCTCCTGTATGTTATGAGACAAAACCTTCACAGCAGAGTGCAATTGTTGGACATAACGTATTAATTCTTGTCTCTATGAATCCCTCTTGGTTGCACACCCCCAGTTGGAGGGAGGAGGTCAACGGACAGGGCATGGTTTTTCCTGTCAGAAGCTCATGTGGTGTTAAACCCAAGTGCTCTGTGGGTGACGATCTCCTAGAAAACATCACGAAGGCAGCAGCCAGGTCATGTTGGTATCAGCACAAAATTTAGCTAATTGTAATTTGATTGTGCGTTTAGCTCTCTCAACCCAACAGGTGAATGTGTCAACTTTTATACATGGATAATCTAATAGAATCATCCTCTCACCTTTATCCAGAATTATATTTACTGTACAGGGGTTGGACAATGAAACTGAAACACCTGTCCCTTTAGTGTGGGAGGTTTCATGGCAAATTGGACCAGCCTGGTAGCCAGTCTTCATTGATTGCACATTGCACCAGTAAGAGCAGAGTGTGAAGGTTCAATTAGCAGGGTAAGAGCACAGTTTTGCTCAAAATATTGAAATGCACACAACAT